ACGCAGTTCCTGGTCAGACAAACCTCCGACCAACCAGCTGCGAGTTTCACACCCAATAAGCCACATAGAGATGGGAAATACACAGGGAGTTTGGATCCTGTTTGTGTTGATTTTTGAATTTTTTGACTGTTGAGAAGCAAGACACCTGCTAGAACACATGGGTTGGACTGCTAAACTGAACTAATCTGGGTATTTTAGAAATGCATTAACTTTTAAAAAGAAGTCAAACAATGTATTTGTCAAATGGAAATCAAAAATGCTTTGGAGTTTTGTTTCCACAGATGAGAGGCTGTGGATTCCTTCAGAGTTAGTATGGATCAGGTTTGATCAGGTGAGACTTCTTGAAACTTGACAGGTGATATCTATTAGCAAAGGTTACTGTTGGTCTTCCCAAGACTTAGTCATTATCTCAAATTTTCTCTTTGGGACCCTAAAGATACTTCATCCACAGACAGCAGAAGAGAAGTATGGAGAAAACTACACCCACATTCCCAAGAGTAGGGGGGTGGGGGTGGTTTTTGGTTATTTGGTGGGTTATGGATGTTTGTTATCATTTAGGAGAATATAGAATATAGATACAAATTTAAAGTTATTTTTGTTATGCTGTATATGTTTTACTCTTGTTTATTGATAAAAATTTAAGGTTATTTTTGTTATAACATGTTGTATATATCTATTCTTGTCTAAGATCTTGTACCTATGCAGTTTATTTAAAAATGTAAGGCAAAATTCTAGTTTTTGAAACTTGTTATAATAAACTATATAAGATAATCAGGAAACATAAGTTAGTGGCTAGTCATTTATAACAATCAAATCTGTAGATAGGTATGCTTTCCAGATCATATAGAGATGTATTTTAGATATAGATGGTCTTCAAACCTTTCAAAGACCTACGGAATATGGCATTTAAAATGTTTTGTTAACTTAAGGTTTTTCATAACAATGAGACATCTGCACCTGGCAGCACTAATTTACTTCAGAGATGATGGGTACTGAAGAAACTCCTTATAGAGTTTGCTTTCATTGTGGCAAGGTTAGCCACTGGGCAAAGAAACTGTCCTTGCCTTTGACTGCTGACAATGTGCTGTGCAGACTGGACATGCACAACACACAAGACAAAGACTATTGAATTTTGCCAAAACAAGGCAGGACAGTCCCCAATTCCTGCTTCATAGAAAAGTCTGCCAGATACCCTAGACCTGTAGGCTGAAGATGGAAGCCCCAGTGTTGCAAAGGAACTATGGGTGACTGTCCAGGCAGCCAACTGTCTCTGTTGTTAGATAATATTACATCCTTCTGGGTCTTTGATGGAGTTGAAGACTAGATAGTTATAGTTGCAGTTTTTCTTAGTTATGATAGAAAGTAAGTTAGTTGTATAACTTTAGATTCACTAAGACAGGATAGAGAATGCATTATTTTCTTTGAATATGCTAACTACAAATGGACAGACTATTGTAAATGTAATTCCTACTTGATAATTGTTTTTGTATATAGTTATACTATGTTAAAGTTAAAACCTTTAGACAAATAATTGGGAAATTCAAATATATGATATTTGAATGAGATGAAGTTTGAGTCTCAGCTCTGCCACAACATCAAGATGTGTGAATTTTAGTGATTATTTTGTATGGATTTTACTTTCCCAATCTAAAACATAAAAGACTGGATTCCAGTATTTCAACAGTAACATTCCATGATATCATTAACATAAATCCATATAAAATTAAAAAGCAAGGGAAAGAGAGAAGGCAGTTGGGGAAAAGAAATGTTTAAGGAAAAAGCACAGTAATAAGTATGCAAATGCCATCACAAAACCCATCACTTTGTATGCTAACTAGAAAAGGAAGGAGGGGGACAAAAAAAAAAAAAGAAAGAAAGAAAAAGAGCCACACAAGTAATAGAAATTTTTGACAAGCTTTACTCATGAATCAAAATTAAAATTCTGGGGGCTGGAGAGATGGCTCAGCAGTTAAATGCAAGTACTGCTCTTGCAAAGGACCAAGTTTGATTCCTAGCACCTGTATCAGGAGGCTCATAATTGGCTGTAAGTCCAGCTCTAGGGGACTGACACCCTCTTCTGGCCTCTCTTTTCAGGCAACTGTGCTCATGTGCACATATCATGCCCTCAACATACACACACATACACACACACACACACACACACACACACACACACACACACACATTTTAAAATTTTTTAATTATATAAAAAATAAAACTCTGGCTAGATGGTGGAGATGCCTCTCCAGGTAAAAGTACCTACTACAAGCCCGACAACCTGAGTTCAATTCATGGGACCAGTGTGGTAGACTGAGAGAACTGCCCCCACAAACTGTCCTCTGACTCTGTCTGTGGGCCATAAGTACAGGTACACCCACACACATGCACACTCACACAAAGATAAACAAAAATGTAATACCCAATTTTTTTTAAAAAATAAAACTTTGGCCGGGCGGTGGTGGCGCACGCCTTTAATCCCAGCACTCGGGAGGCAGGGCCAGGCGGATCTCTGTGAGTTCTAGGCCAGCCTGGGCTACCAAGTGAGTTCCAGGAAAAGGCGCAAAGCTACACAGAGAAACCCTGTCTCGAAAAACCAAAAAAAAAATTAAATAAATAAATAAAAATAAAAAATAAAACTTTGGATTGATGCTATACCAGGGTTTATGAGAAGCCCTGGGTCTGATCCCAAAACTGAAGGAATGAAAAAGAGACAGGAGAGGAGAAGGGCAGGGAGGGGAGGGAGGAAATTCAGGAAGGAAAAAAGGAAAGTTTAAATGATTTTACTTTGCTACTTTGGAAATTTGCAGAGAATTTTTTTCTGGGGTTGGACAGATGGCTCAGTGGTTAAAGAGCTTTTTCAGAGGGTCTAGGTTCTGTTCCCAGAACCCACAACACATGGTACACTTACATGTAGGCAAAACACTCAAACACATAAAATAAAAATAAATCTTTAAAAGACTGTGAAATCTAGATGAAAGATATTACTGGTTCCTAAACAGTGAAAAATATGTTCAAAGTAGTATTTTAAGATCAGCACAGGCAGAATATATTTGAGCCATCCAGGCAGAAAACCCAGTTAGAGCTAGTGAGCTAGAAATTAAAAACAGTGTAAGAATACAAAGATAAGAAAATTTTTTTAAGAAAATGACTGCAAAAATAGGCCAATGTTAAGGTTTATGTCTGGGTTACTCAAAGCATGTTACATAATGCATCAGCAAAGAAAGATAGTGCATGGAATTGGTTTTGAAGGGAAGACTTTGAAGTTCTACTTCCGAGGTAGGTTAAAATGAGAATCATCTAGACCTGTCAACTGTCTTCAAACCGTCTGATTTGTTAAGTGTTCAGTAACGTCACAAGCGTTTCCTTCAATTTTACTTAGTGAAATAATCATTTTCTGTCATTAAAAACATGCATTTTTTTCTGTATTATCAGGTTAATTCATTCTTTTCAAGTTTTTCTGAGAAGGAATTTATTTATAACAATAATCACATCAAACTGTGAACTCTGGAAAAAGTTCTCAAAATATGAAAACTAGCAGCATAAATAATCACTCGGTGTTTAATAAACCATTATATTAATGTGTCAACTATTTACATGACTCTGTAAGCACTAGGAAAATCTCAACAAAAAAATGCTTGAGGGAGAGGCAAATCTTTTAGAACTTAATACTTATACATACAGCTGAGATCTGAACACTGCACACTTACAGATATTCTAGCCGATTCCTACAGTTCAGTTTTCCTAGAGAAAGCACCAAATGTGGCCACGATGAAAAAAGTACTACTCAACCAATGCATATGCCTGGATTTACTACCAAGATGTGAATGGAATTTCTATTTAAAAACGAGACTGAAAATTATCTAACAAAACTTTCTTCTTGGACTATTTCTCCATTGATTTTGTGACTTCGCTAAAGGCTGAAAACAACGGATTTCTAGGTGCTTAAGAAATCACTAAGGATGATCATAAAGCTATCAAAGTTAAGCTTTTGAAAACGAACACTTCTTACAAAACTTCACCCGTTTTGGCTGGACACTGATCTTCATTGCTCCCCACCCCAAGATGGGGTCAGAAGTTTTCTTCACCTCATTCTTCCCTAACTCCTAAGGATTCTTACCTAACTAACATGAGGGGCAGAATTTTCTTTGGGTGACTTCAGCTCGGTTCGACATTAACCAAGCGATGATGTTACGGTCCGCAACCATGAACAAAAACCCAGCTTCACCGGCTGTTAACATTAAACCCAACTTGAGCGGAAACCCGTGCGCAACGGTACAAAAGCAACCCAGCAAGCTGTTTTTCCTGGACCTACCCCAACTCGCCAGCCCCCCGGCCGCCCCCATTTCTCCTGCTCCGGAGCGGTGGGGGGAGGGGAGGGCGCGCCCCGAGGATGTCCCCCTGACCGGCTTCCTCCCGCGGGCGGCTGGAGGTGAGAGCGCCCTTCCTGCCAGCCCGCGCGTCCCTACCTTCCCGGCCCCAGACACCGCCACAGACCGCGACAGGGCTTTCTGCGGAGCGCCGAGGCACGTGCCGCACACTTGCCGGCCCGCCTCCCCGAGCGGCGTCCACCGCTCCGGCGAGAGGCCGCGGGGGTCACCGGGGATGCACCGCGGACAGCCGAGCTCCACCGAGCGGCCTCCCCGCCCCCTCCGCTCCGCCGCCGGCAGACGGCGCCCCCGGGCTAACTTCGCCGGGGAAGAGGAAGCGACGAGACTAACAGACAGCGCGGACGGACCGGGAGGCCGGAAGGACTGTGCGTGTCCGCACGCAGGCAGGGCCGTCTCACCTTCCCCTCCGCCGAGCCCGCGGCCCCCGTCACCTGAGGACTGCACCGGGACGCCACCGCGGCTGCCCGGAGGCCGTTACCGCACGAGGCCTGTGCTGCGCCGCCGCGTAGCTCTCAGAGAGAGGCGGGGCGAGAGCAACCGGTGGGCGGGCCGGTGCGGGCAGGAAACCCGCTCCACGCCCAATCTAATAGGCTCCATCGCCTCCGGGGCCCGCCCCTGACGCCACAGCGGAAGGCGCCGCTCCGGGATTGGACGAGCTGGCCTGTCAATCAAGCGCGGCGCTGAGTGTTCGGTGAGCTGAGACTGCGCGGCTCTCAGACAGGAGAAGGTGAGGGACGCTGGGCCTGGCGGCGGCCGTGCTCTTCCACCAGCTTCCTCGGTGGCTGCTTACTTTCCGCCTCTCTCAGAGCTGCTGAAACCTGTCATTATAATCGCTCATTAATGTCGGCCCTGAGTTCAGCCCAAACTGCTCTGGTTCCTGCACCTGAAGGGGCCGACCAGCTGCAGATTCTTAGGGACAGGGAGCGACAAAGAAAAAAATTAATAATAAGCCTCGGAGAAAAATGTAAGATGTTTGTTCATTAAAACCACGGCCAAAAAAGCTGTCTGAGGAACTTCCGAGTGCCCTGGTGCGTGGGCAGCCTTCATTCTCGGCTTCCAGCCCTGCCAGAAAGGACAGTTACCTTTGCCCTTGGGCTGAGCATGGCAGTGGCGCAGCCCCAGCCACCTGCCAAGGCATCTATCTGTAAATCGGTTCTCCTTCCGAACTAGTCTTGCAGCCACCTGTAACTGCCTGACTGTTTCCTAACCATCTTTGTTTCCTAGTGTAGGTGTGGCACCCAAAGAAACACTCTAGGTTACGTAACTTCACTGAAACGTGGTTTTGCCTCCAGCGTAACTACGCCCATATACCTAGATTGCAAAGTCTGTTAAATGAGGAACAGTGACAGCGTTCATCCCACCCCCCCCAACCCCATGTCTAACACATCATGGTCAATAATCAAGCCCTTAGTACATCTTCCTTTCACTTTTTAAAAAATTATTTTTATTTTTTTCTGTGTACCAGCGTTTTTGCCTTTATGTATATTTGTGTGCCATATATGCATGCCTGGTGCCCCTGGAGGCCAGAAGAGGGTATAGGATCTTCTGGAACTGGAGTTACAGGTGGTTTTAAACCACATGTGGGTGCTGGGAATCAAACCCAGGTCCCCTGGAAGAGCAACCAGTGCTCTTAATCACTGAACCATCTCTTCAACTCCGTCTTTGCACTGTAATACAAGTAGGGTTTACAGGTAGGGTTTCTACCTGTAAGTCCTAAATATTCACTTTTCTGCATTTAACTTAATTGCATGTTGAAGGATACACGGGTTCGCCTGCCTTAGGTAAACTACAAATTACTTGTGGCCCCTTCTTAGCCTGAGTTTAGTTGAGAAAAGTAGACCATAAAACTGGGCAAAGGATACTCTGCCTACATTCTATTGATAGTATCAAAAGTAAGTAATGCAAAGTATATATTAAAAAATATACAAAGCCGGGCAGTAGTGGCACATGCCTTTAATCCCAGCACTTGGGAGGCAGAGGCAGGCAGATCTCAGTGAGTTCCAAGCCAGCCTGGTAGCTCTACAAATCGGGTTCCAGGATAGCCAGAACTGTTACACAGAGAAACTCTGTCTCAAAAAATGAAAACAAACAAAAAAGAAACATACAGATCACCACACCTTTTGTCTTAGCACTGGAGAGGCAGAGGCAGATACAAGTTTTGCAAGTTCAAAACAGCCTGATCTATGTAGCAAATTCCAGGACAGCCAGGGCTATATAGAACAACTTTGTCTCAAAAGCAAACAAAAACCATACAGGCAGCTCACTCCCATTAACTCCAAAGGAGGAGATTTAGGGTGATAAAGAAAGGAAATAGGAACCCTCCATAACCAAGGCCTTTCCCAGGAAACTATTGACAGCTTATTGTTAAAATGCTATAGTTTAGTGTCCCTATCAGACAAGAATGTGTAGGGGAACAAAGTCCTACCTATCTGCTAGCAAGAAGTTATCACAGGCTTGATATTGACGTGTAGAAATTAGTTGGCCCTACTAAACTAAATTTAATTTCTGGATTTAGTATGGTTATGCTACTACAGGAAAAGTACACTTTGTATGGTAGGTACTACAATAGACACTGGATATCTTAAGAGTCCATACCAGTGTCAGATATGGAGATTTAAACCAACCTGTATTATTAATATGCCAAACACAACAACAGTTGTATCTAGGAACAGAGGCATTAAGCCACTGTGAGAGAGGAAATGTGTAGTAAGACTGTTCAGGCAAAAAGAAGGATAAAGACATTAAGTGATTGTAGCATATTGGTGGAGCAGATGATGGCTAGAATTTAAGCGATATGTTGTGAAAGCAGAGGACCCTAGTGTTTATCCTATAAGCAATGAGAAGTCACTAGAGAGTTGTTGCTTGTTTTTTTTTTTTTTTTAGTACTTTAATGGTCATACTGAGGATTTCTGGTCTTCATTGCTTCTTCTGAGGAGCAAGCTGCAATTCATTTTTAAAAACTTTCTTTTGTGTGTGTTGAGTGTTTTGTTTACACGTTTGTAAGTGCACTGTGTGCCTGCAGTTCCACCAGAAACCAGAAGGGGGCATCAGATTCCCCTGGAACTGGACTAACAGGCAGTTGTAAGCTGCCTTATGTGTGCTAGGAACCCAGCCTGGGTTCTCTGAAAGAGCAACAAGTGTTCTGAATGAAGGAATCATCTCTCCAACCCCAAGCTGCAATTCTTGAAATCTTTTATTTATTAACTGTGGTAGTTTGAATGTAATTGGCCTCCATAATCTCATAGGGAGTGGCACTATTAGAAAGTCGGGCTTGGTTGGAATGGGTATGGCCTAGTTGGAACAAGTGTGTCACTGTAGAGGTGGGCTCTGAGGTTTCCTATGCTCAGGATACTGACCAGTGTCTCAGTTGACTTCCTGTTGTCTCCATCGATAGCACTCTCAGGACCAGCACCACATCTACCTGTGGGCCTCCATGTTCCTGTCATGATGATAATGCACTGGACTTCTAAAACTGTAAGTGAGCCACCTCAATTAAATGTTTTCTTTATGAGAGCTGCTGTGATCATGGTGTCTCTTCACAGCAATAAAAACCCTAACTAAGACATTAGCATTTATTTATTTATTTGGGGTGTGTGGGTGTGTGGGTGTGTGTCTGTGTCTGTACACATGCATGTGTAGAGTTGGTTCTCTCATTCCACCATGTGAATCCAAGGATTCAACTTGGGCCATTAGGATTGGTGGTAAGAGCCCTTATCCATTGAGCCATCTCATTGACGCTGTAGCTCGTCATTGCTTTTCTGTGCGTTTTGTCTTTATGCTCTGGTTATTTTTTAAGATCTATAACTTCATTGTAGCTAGAGTTTGCCTGCCTGGCCCACAGTCAGGACAAATCTCTGTCACCCGCCAGTCCCACAGCCGTCAGACCTAACCAAGTAAACACAGAGACTTATATTGGTTACAAACTGTATGGCCGTGGCAGGCTTCTTGTTAACTGTTCTTACAGCTTAAATTAATCCATTTCTATTAATCTATACCTTGCCACATGGCTCGTGGCTTACCGGCATCTTCATATGCTGTTTGTCATCAGGGCGGCTGGCAGCGTCTCTCTGACTCAGCCTTCCACTTCCCAGCTTTATTCTCCTCCTTGTCCCGCCTATACTTCTTGCCTACCCAATGGCCAATCAGTGTTTTATTTATTGACCAATCAGCAACACATTTGCTATACAGAACATCCCACAGCACTTCATCGTCATCAGCAAAGATGCACTGTTTCTAGATGTTTGAATGTAATTTTTCTATTTTTCTTTTTCTACTTATCCTGCCAGGCATTCATCTAGTTTCAGATTTCTGAGTCGCTGGTGTTTATTTTCTATCTTGAATCAACTTTATGCTATACTTCTTAGTAAGTCTCTATTCTCTCCATTCCACTCTGCACCACTGTCCCTCCAAGTCCTCTTTCTGTGCTTTCATTTGCTGTGTGTGTGTTTATGTCCATGCACATCCATTGCAGCTTGCACCCAAGACTTCATGTATGCTGCCCAAGCATTCCATCAACAGGCTATACACCCAGCCTTTTTGACTTTTTAAAATTTGTACATAGGATCTTGCTAAATTACCCAAGCTGTACTCAAATTTAGGCACATCCTGCCTTAGCTAAGAAGCTAAGATAAAAGATTTATACCTCCATGCCTGGCTCAGGTTGCATAACATCTATTGTTAACTAATGTCTAGTAATCACAGAAAATCTAAATGTTGACATTTCCTCAAAGCTAGGTATCGTATTAGTGTCTTTGGATTTTTTTTTAAATGATTTGGGCCCTTTACTCAGGAAAACAGAAATCACAAGATATCACAATGGAGAAGATTTAGTATTGTGTGTTAATGGACTGAAAAATCTGAAACCAGGTTTGGTGCTTCATGCCTGTCATCCCATCATTGGAGAGGCAGATACAGGAAGGATCACCCCAAGTTCAAAGCCATCTGGGGGTGTAGAGTGAGACCCTGTCTCAAATAGACTCCCCCCCCCAAAAAAAAAGGTCAGGTGTGGAAGGCCAGGGACACTGAGCACTGAGCTAACCCAAAAGAGATTGTGCTTCATGGATCAACTACCACCCCTAGGGCTAGCAAAAGAGTGTATCAGGTTTGTACTGTAGGATTTCAGAAGCACAGAAGCATGGCCCAGCTGGGATATAGCTCAGACCTCCAGGAGGAAGCTCTGCAGCTGGCCCTGCTACTGCTCAAAGGGGATGAAGTTGTGGGCAAGAATGATGTGATAGGAAGGAATAATGTCAAAAGTAACTTAAGGATAGCATTAATCCTTGCTGATTGCTGGGGTAAAAGAGCAAAATATGCTAAAGGCAAATAGAGAGAGGAAAGTCCCTTCTCTTTCTGCCTTCTAATCTTCCTCTATTAACTTTTTGCTTTCTCGTGTATTTATTTATTTACTTACTTACTTACTTACTTATTTGCAGGACTTGGGGTTGAATCTACAGCAGCTTGCTACATAGTAGGTAAGTGCTCTGCCACCGAGCTATACCCCCAGTAGCTACCCTGCTTTTGAAAACAGGTCTAAGTTGCCAAAGCTAACCTTGAACTTGTGATTCACCTGCCTCAGCCTCTCAAGTAACTAGAATCACAACCCTATGCTTCCAGGCTCAGCTCAATCCTTTGTAGGCAAAACCCTGTGGGAAATACTAGCAAGCATCAAAAAAATGAAATGTGTGGGGGTGAGTTGGGAGCTAAGAGACAACACCTTAATAATCTGTATCACGTCAACGTGTACTTGTGCAGAATTAATAATGGCCTAAATTAGACTCAAATTAATGCTATCTTGTAGCTTTTTATGGACCTAAAGGCCCTTTTGAGGAGAGTCTCAGGATACCATGTCAATTTTCTGCTCTATCATGATTACTGCTAGTGTCTTAATTTTTCTTGTTCTTGAGAATTTCATACATGTATACAATGAAATATGATCATATCCAACCCCATTTCCCTCCTCTAACTCTCCCCATATGCCTGGATGCCCCTTAACATGTCCCCCTCCCAACTAATGACTTTTTTTTTTTTTTTTTTTTGGTTTTTGGTTTTTGGAGGCAAGGTTTCTCTGTATAGCACTGGAAATGATTTTTTTTATAACCTACTAAATCCAATTAGTGCTGTCCATATGTAGTATGGGGTGGGAGGACTGGAACACAATAATATACCAGTAGGAACAGCCTCAAACAGTTATTCTCCCTCCCCCAGCAGGTATCAGCCACCAATAACTCAGTAAGGCGTGGGTCCTGGGGAGTCCCCCACCCTTCTATGCTGAAATTTTGCCTTGCTTCATGTTGTGCAGGTCTTGTGCAAGTGACCACATCTGCTTTGAGTTCATCACTGCAATAGACATGTCAGTGTTGGGTTTTGTTGTTGTTGTTTTGATTTTTGTTTTTTAGGAGTATGGCATGTCTGCTTTACTTACATACCTACCGTAGAATCATAAACAGGAGCAGCTATGAAAAAAGACTTGCATAAATAAGGATAAGGAGACTCTTTCCAAACATTAGCTCTCACATCATCAGACACAAAATGGTCTGGATTATGGATTACATACAATAGGTGAGAATTCTTTATACTCTACACTCATTCCCTATGTATTGCCTAATGTGGCCCACTATGAGAAGACAAACTTTCCATTCTAATGTTTAGACTCCCTGTTACTGAAAATCCAGCTTTTCTTTCTTTCTTTTTTTTTTTTTTTTGGTTTTTCAAGACAGGGTTCCTCTGTGTAGCTTTGCGCCTTTCCTGGAACTCACTTGGTAGCCCAGGCTGGCCTTGAACTCACAAAGATCCTCCTGGCTCTGCCTCCCGAGTGCTGGGATTAAAGGCGTGCACCACCACCGCTCAGCCCAGCTTTTCTTTACTCCCCTTATTCATCTCAACTCAAAGCCTTTAGATTTTCAGTGGAAAAATGGACTTTAGCTAGGTGTCCAACATTTTATCTATAGTGTAATTTTCATGAATATTTTTAAATATTGAAGGATGTTTGTTGCACATTTGTAGAACATTAAGAATAAACATTTTTTCATCTGGGTGGTGGTGGTGGTGGTGGTGGTGGTGGTGGTGGTGGTGGTGGTGGTGGTGCAGCACACCTTTAATCCCAGCACTCAGGAGGCAAAGGCAGGATGATCTCTGTGAGTTTGAGAGCAGCCTGGTCTATCAAGACAGCCAAGGCTACACAGAGAAACCCCATCTCAAAAAAAAAATAAAATAAAATAAAATAAACATTTTCCTCAGGTGTAGCAGCTCACACCTTTAATGCCAACACTCAGGAGACAGAAGCAGGCAGGTCTCTGAGTTCAAGACTGGTCTGGTCTACATAGCAAGTTCCAGGACAGCCAGAATTACATAGAAAGACCCTTTCTCAAAACAAAACAAAAACATTTTTCAAGTTTTAGAAGTTTATAACCACAGAAATTCAATCTGAGACTCCTAGTCTTGTGTCTTTGGTGATGGAGAATGATACTCTTCTACCACAATTACATTTTATTAATAGTCATAAAGACACCAACTTCATGACATATTTCATCTATTTAATATTTATGCTCTAATATATTAGTTTGGAATATTTTTCTGCATCTCCATAATTATTGATACTATATAGCACTCTATCAATATAGCACTCTATCAATTATATAACACAAAAGACATCTACATGTAAATATTAAAATGGCAATATACATGTTAGCAACTAGACATTAACAAGATAATAATAACCTGGTATTCATTTAATGGGAGAGTCCAGTATTTCCTGATAATCTTCCCTCCTTACATTCCTCCAATACAGTTTATAGCCAGCAAGGACAAATACACTAATCATAATGATCACCCCTCCAAAAACATCATAAACACTAGGAAATATGTGTAACACTAGAAGCTGTAAGACCATAGCTACCACAATCTCCAGATGCTGTACTGTGCTGACCAAAGCTGGGTGGAATTTGTCTAAGGCATAATAAACTCCTAAGAATGCTACAGTAGAACAGATGCATATAGCAATAAGATAGCTCCATGTTTCTCCATCTAAAGGGATAATCGGTTCTTGAAGAACAAACATAGTAGAAACTCCCCAGACTGTTCCAGTCCAACCAAAGGTAAACAGTGCAGTCCACATGCTGATCTTCTCCCTGATGGATCGGTACACAATCATAGAAAGAGCAGTGGTCAGTCCGGCCATCACAGTCATAGTGTACCCAAAGGCTTCTTTCCAGGCATTTAACAAAGAGTTGTCTTCATCAACGATATTGGGAATCATGACAAGACAAACGCCTAAGATACTGCAAACCACTGTAGCCATGTCAACGTAAGCCATTTTCTCATCTACAAGTAAAAATGCTAAAATGGCGCTGAAAACTGTGGTTGTGGCTCTCCACATCGTGGTCCCATTGCTGGGAGGAACTATTGAGAAGGAGGTATAAGCACAGGTGATAGAAATAACATTGCATACACCATAAAAGAAAAGTCGTAATCTGTATCCGCTGGGTCCAAAAGGAGCTTCCTGGTAATAACACACAACTAACACTGATAAGACCTGCAAGACAGAACGGATAAAAATCAGTTCTAGAGATGGAACTTTAGAACGATCAGAAACAAGCCTAGTGATGAGAGCCACACAGCCATGAGCCAAGGCAGATCCAAACAGCACTATCCACATTTTTCGGGACTGAAAAATGTTTTTTTCTGCAAAGCTCTGAAATTGTGTCATCCCACTGGCTCTTGAGTCTTCTGTTAGTGGAGGCTGAGTGTCCATGGTTCCAAACAAAGTTCTTCCTTTTCTCTTCATTTCACTCAGCAGACTTTTCTTCGGATTTTCTTCCATAAATTTGCCATAGTCTTCATTGATTTCCTCATATCTGTCGTCCCCAGGTTGGGGATAATGAGAGGTATATTTCACCATGACTGTGTTGGGATGTATTTTCACCCGTTTTTTAACTGGATATTTTTTGGATGGAGAAGTATCCATTTCTTCAGATAATAAATTCTATTTAAAGAAAAAAAAGAAAAATATACGTGTTTATTGCATTGAAAACCACATTACTATTTTATAGATATATACTATTTCAATGATGGAAGGTAGAGATTATAACAGGAATCTGGAAAGAAAACATAGTAGGAAATTTGATCTGGCATATGTATTATCATATATATGAAGCCCAATGGAATTTTCCACCCTCTTATCACTCCTATTGTAAACTTGTTCCAATGTCTCCCTGTATTTGTTCTTAAAACAAAGCTTAAAAGTTAGCTCTTTTGTTTGCTTGATTAATTGGTTTTTTGAAATAGGAACTCTTGATCTTCCTGCCTCCAACTCCCAACTTCTAGGATTAGAGGCATATACCATAGACTCGGCTTGTCTCTTTCAGCTTTATGCCTCATTTTTACATGACACACTGATATTTTCCCATCTTCTCATTTCTACCCATCTTAAAAGAAAAACACAAAAAATAAAAAGTCACATCAATCACACCTTGCCTTTTTATTGTGTCCATTTGTCTATGCTCTAAAATTGTAAATACATAAATCCAAAGTATTTTAAAGATGTGTGTGTGTGTGTGTGTGTGTGTGTGTGTGTGTGTGTGTGTGTGTGTGTGTAGGTATGTAGGTATGCAGGTATCCTCACAGGCCAGAAAAAGTAGTTGAATTTCCTGGAATTGGAGTTGTAGGTTGTTGTGAGCTACCCACCATGGGTGCTAGGACCCAAACTGAAAGAGCAGGAAGTGCTTTTAACTACTGAACCTCTCATCAGTCCCCCAAAGTATTTTATGTAATTCTACATAATAACAGAATCTAAGCCAACTGGCACATATCTATAATCCCAGCACTTGGTATTATGATATGCTGTTGTTTAGGAAAAAAATATTAAGCATCTTTCAAAGTAAGGATTAAAGAAATACTAAATATAAAGAATTTTCCACAGAAGTATATATAGTAAATAAATGTTAGCAGTAAGTTTGGCTGTTTTCACCTATAATTATCCTATGAAACACTGGGTATCTTTTACAGTGTTACTCTTTCTCACTCAGCCTGCCTTCCTGTCTTTCTTTGAACAATTTCCTTTTCCTTCTCAGTGATTCTTTTCTTCCACCATAAAAGATGATCTGGCAATATACCTTACCAGACAGGTGGAGCCCCCTGGAGTTCTCCACCCTAAAGGGAAGAACAAAGGAGAAAAGAGGAATCTTCTTTCCTCATGATTCCCCAAATCCTTGCCCAAACTCATCAATTCCAGGACTTAAACCATGACCCCAGAATCAAATCCAGTTCTGTTCTTTTGACACCATCTGGAAAGCCAGCTGTTCTGTTACTCCCTCTTCTGAAAGTCCTTTTCCGCTGGAAACAGTCATGGAAAATACCAGCCATGCCTCCAGACCCTCCTGACCTAACCAGCCTCTTCCTGCAGTCTCTCCAGCATACCGATCTCAAAAATCCCACTATTTATTTCTCACTTCTAGCCATTTCTATTTTAAAATTGTGTCTTTAGCTTCAATGACCTTGAACTCAATCATAGTCTCAGTCTCCAAGAAGGAGCTTTCTTCCCAGCTCCCTCACTCATGTTGGTGATCTACAGTCCCTCCAGATCCCCAAGCTAGAAATCAAGGAATACTCTGAATTCTCGTTTGGGCCATCACACTCCAAATTGGTTCATTCTTACTGTCTTTATCTTTGAAATATTTCTTGAATTTTTCTTTTTTCTCTAATTCCATGTTAATGTCATTATTCTAGAAGAAGCCAGTATGAGTTCCAGACAAGAACATTACCCTGGCATCCTGTCTGCCCTCTTTGAGTTCCAGCCCTCCTCTAAATCCCATGTGTGTTACCCTGTTGTCACATTAATCTGTCTCTAAAAGATTAAGAACAAAAACTTTCCTCCAAGTTTTCCCCATCCAAGAACCAAGCATTCTCTACAGACCTCCTGTCTATACTATCAATATCAACTAACCCAGTTCACGCTGTAATCCCAACACTTAGGAGGTAGAGGCAGGAAGAACAGGAAGTAAAAGCCATCCTCAGCTACATAGTGAGTGGGTTTGAGGCTAGCCTGGGCCACATGAGATGCTGTCTCAAAAACAAAAAAGAAAGGTTAAATTAGTTTCTCTGCCAGGCACTTGAGACCCTGCTTAGCATGGCCCTAGTCTGCACTCAGCCCCTTGGCATCCACACTTTGCTCCAGGAGTCTGTGTGGTGTCTCCATGACCTTGTACCATGTATGTAAGAAATCATTTCCCAAGCTTTCATTCCACTAGTGTCTCCTCTGCTCCAGTGTTCTGAATACTGATCGTCGGTTAGGACCTAATTCAAAGTCTGTCTTTAGGAGCAAGCCTTCTCTGACTTCTCCAGATACTTCTTCATCTAAACAATTGCAGCTCTTCTAATCTAATTTGTATAATGTAATCATGTTACTTCCTGCTTGGCTCAGCTCTGGAGTTTTATGTTCCTAGTTACTGTACCCAATTTAACTATGCCAATTCTCCTTTCCTTGATGGCCAGTAATTATCTTAATGAAATTTTACATTCCATAACTTCCCATTTGCTGCTATCATTAAAATTTTACCTTATATTCATTCAAAGCTTACTGCTACGGGCCAAATCTACAGTTCTAGAGACATGATTAGGGAGTGAGAGTAGCTTGCTATTTTATTCCTCCTGTTCCCTCCCTTTGGGGGCTGTAGAAGGGTTTTTTAGGCTGTCAA